TCTTCTACTAGTCCTTCCATGTGATCACTCACTTTTGCAAACACGCAGTCTCTTTGAATGACCAACTGGATTGGCGATCGACGATTTCCGAAATCACTGCCAATGCCAAAGTGGTTGTGTGTTTGGGCTACATAACATGTCACTGCTCGGTATGCTTCTTTAGTCTCTTTCAAGACAAATCCGTGACTCCGCAAATCTGCTTGCAAACAACTAATCATCTCTTTGAAACGACGAACAGTCCTCTCACAATGTCCTACCGTTTGGTGACTTTGTGGCGCCGCTTCATTTATGTGAAGGGGAACAGGAAGGTTGGCTCGTTTCAAAATCGAACCAACTGCTTTCGCGGCATCTGTTCTGACCTCTACGGCAAGATGTGCTTCCGATGGTGACGTAACCAACAATCCCAACTGGTTGAAAAATGCACGAATGTCCGTGTTTGTTTCACCGGCACACAATGCACAACCAATCAGCCCAGTCATCACTTCTGACAAAGCTAGGAATTTGTAATCCCCAATGAAAAAGAAATCAGCCTGTACCAACAATGAACTGCGACTTTCTTTGCTTCTAGGATGTCTCATGACAGACCTGGACAACTTGCAATCCATGCATCTGGCATCGAATGGCGTGTGTCCTCGCAGTCGGTGGAGAACAAGCTCTTCTTCCTCACGTTTCTTCAACAGCTTCAAATCGGATGGGAACTCTGGGGTTTTCTCAACTTTGGACAATTCCTCATCTTCGAAGTCTGCTGGAATGGGGTGATCTTCCATGTCTTCCTCATGGGGAGGGTACTCTTCTTCCAAAGCTTTGAAAAATTCCTCTTCACCTAACAAGACGCTTGCATGCATCTTTGGTTTCTACTTCAATGCACTAGGCAAGTATTTGATAGCGATCGAATCGGTCGGCGAAGCAAGACTGCTAGACAGCTTGTCAACATGCATGGTATCTTGCGAACCTTCTGAATCGACTTCCATGTCCGCAGGCATGCCAACTGCTTTGTTTCTGAGACTAGCATGAAGCCATGGTACACCGGACCAAACATCGCAAATCAGTTGTTTTCGTTCATCTAAGATGATGAATGTTCCATCTCCACTCATCTCGAACTTAGCTCCCTTTCCCACAAGTTGCGTCACGGAAAGGAGATTATGCTGCACTGGTGCCACGACACATCGAAGCTCATAGCGCAAAGTCTTGCACTTCTCATACTCCGTCTGGAAATCAACCTGAGTTCGGAAGTAAACTTCGATGAACACTTCTCTCGAAACATGGATGGCATCACCACTCGCTGTCTGGAACGAAAGTGGGTTGTCAAGACATCGTTCACGAATGATGCGATATGCACTTAATGCATCTGAACTCACAACAGTTCGTGAAGCTCCCGAATCAACAAGCCAATACCCTGCTTCGATCGGAGTTTCCGTGGCCGACGAAAAGAAGGGATGGAAACACTCTTGTCCGAAATACCGATACCGATGACACAAATGCATCATGAGACATGTCAAAAACAATGACAGGATGGTGAACATGCAGCGAAACCATCGTCCAAACAATGTGCTCGACTTCTTCTCTTTTGGTTCAACCTTGGCACATGTCTGAGTTCCTACAATCAACGTTGCAAGACGACCTCCTTCATCTGCTTCTGACCATGCATCATCATCTTCATATGCATCATACGAGGCATCTGATTCGGAAAACTCTGCTGCCCGCTTACCTTTCTTACCTTTGGATTTGCCTTTTCCTTTATCTTTACCTTTTCCTTTGCCTTTGCTCTTGCCATCAATCGACTTCTGCAATCTCTGGGGGCAATCTCTGGAAAGGTGGCCTGTTTTTCCACATTCAAAGCACGAACGGGTCTCAGTCTTCTCGGTCTGGTTCTCATTATTCTTGCTCTTACCTTTACCTTTGCTTTTGCCTTTGTCACCTTTGCCTTTACCTTTCTCCTTGAACGGTGCAATGGGCTTGTGGTTCAACTCTGACCATGCTCTCTGCTGTGCTTCGTATCTCAGAGCTGCATCTGAGTATGCCTGAAAGCTTTCCTGCACAACATTGAGAACAAGCCATTGACGACAAGCATCTGGCAACGATCGAAGAAGAATCAAAATCTGGTCAGCTTCCATGATTTCCAGTTGTTGACTGTTCACACTTGGATCAACCAATTGCTGAATGCGTGCAAACTTAAACAACTCATGCTGGATCTGTTGAACGGTCTCGGGGATGGTGGCACACTTGAAAGTTCCACTGGTGATTCGATTGCGAAAGAACAACAATTCTGTCCTGGTCTTGATTCCAAACTCTCGTGAAAGCAAACGAACTCCCTCATAGCCACAACAGTTCATACGGTTTTGTGACGATTCATAGTTTCCCAAAATCAAGCTCGCCCTAGCATGACCGGAAAACACTTGCTTTAAAATCGAAAGTAACCGAGTGGACCTGGTAATCTGTGCTGCGTTCATCTGATTCCAGGTAATCACTGATGGACTTCGAAGGGACCAAAGGATCTCTCGTGGCCATTCATTGTCTCCTAATCCAGCCCATGAAGCTAGCTCTTGGATGTAGCTAATGAACCCCTCTACTTCTTCTGGTCGTGTAGTCCATTTGTCATGTTGGGGAACTGGATAAGCTGGCATCCATTTCTCACTTCGTCGGAAAGGATTCAGATCTTCCTTTCCCTTGTACACTTCAACAGCATCTCGAAGTGCGGTTGGTGACTGCTGCATCCCTGGTGGAGGAAGATTGACATTTGCTGGGTCAGGATTATTGAAAGGCGTGTCTTGAACATTACGACGGAAATTCTGCCATGGATCCTGAACTTGCAACGGATCAACATTCCTATCTCGTGGACTTCCGGAAGGTGGGATGGGCAATTGCAAACCATCTGGTGAAGGAACCATTGGTGCTGGTGGTCCTGATTCAAGTGCATCATACACAGGTGGTGGCGTATTCACACGTGTGGTCAATGCTTCTACTGCAGGTACCAACGAACCGATAGCATCTTGCAAGGATCTAGCCATGGTAGCTAAACTGGACACTTGCTGTTCCAAACCTTGGAAACGTTCAGCGCTAACTGATGTCCCAGTTTCAACTGCAGGAGATCCTGGATCTGGTAAAGATGCCATGGCTCCGCTACCATGAAGAGCAACTGTACTCGCTCACGCTCTTTTTTTTCACTTGAGCCAATGCAACGAGTGCATACCCGATTGACCTCTGGTTTCTGGTGTCGGGTGACTGTCAGGAAATGGATCTGTGGATCTTGTGATATACAAGATGATCCGTCCATTCCTCTCCAAAAGCACTGCCAAAAATAGCTTCAAATGCTACAGCGTGGCCTTTGGTTCACTAGTCTTTACATATGGAGAACTGTCGAGCTCGGCTCTGACAGTACTTATCACGAAAGCTAGCATGCTAGCTGAGTTTTTCTTTGCTTTAGCAATGTTGTGGTGGGAGGGGCTGCGTGCCTTAAAGATTGATATATCAAGCTAACCCCCCCCCCCCGCGGTTCAACTCCCAGCTGCGCCGCTTCGCTTATTGTTGTGGTGCATACCACCATTCCACTGAATGAATTGCGTGATAGCTCTGCTGGTGTTCAGACAGCGGCAAGGTGTGCATATGTTTGTGCAATTGTTTGCATACGGTGAGCACGCTCCATTTCACCTCCATGCTACGTCGTTCCTTCAGCCTCCGTCCAGGGTTGGCGTCGTTTTGCTGGTTCGAGTGGCTCATTCAATGCAGAAGTTAACAAACTGATAGGTATAATGATAATGAGTTGCGTGTATACTTGAGATCATTTGAGGTAGTTCATGCTTTGCTACTTGTTGCGGCTTGCTGCTTGCTGCTTTCTGCCGGTGGTGCTGCTGCTGCTGCTGCGGCTTGGTGCTGCGCTGCTGCTGCGTGGTGCTGCTGGCTGGCTGCTTGGCGGTTGCTGCTGGCTGCTGGCTGCAGGCGGCTGCTTCTGCTGCTGCTGCTGCTGGCTGCTGCTTGCTGCATAGGACTTGTACTTCACCCTTACAAGTTGTTTACCCTATTTCTAACCTAGTGCATGCATAAGCGGGTGGTAAATTTACTCCCAAGGCTTGCTATAACCATACACAGGCTATTTCCTCAAGACACTCTATTCCTGATACCTTTTACATCCTTTTTACCAGTAATTATCCTGCACTACGGACGCCCTAGTGTATGCACAGTCCTTGTGATGCTTACCCCTCGTTCCGGCTCAAGGCATACATAAGCGGGGGGTAAATTTACCCCCCAGATTTGCCATAACCATAAGCCGGTTATTTCCTCAAAACACTCTGCTCCTTATACCTTTTACCAGTGCTTATCCTACACTACGGACGCCCTGGTGTTTGCACAGTCCTTGTGATGCCAGAAATGCTTACTCCTCTTTCCGGCACAAGGCATACATAAGCGGGTGGTAAATTTACCCCCCAGATTTGCAATAACCATAAGACGGCTATTTCCTCAAGACACTCTATTCCATACACCTTTTACCCGTGCTTCTCCTACACTACGGACGCCCTAGTGTATGTACAGTCCGTATGACGTCAGAAATGCTTATCCCTCAAGGCATACAAAAGCGGAGGGTAAATTTACCCCCCAGATTTGCCGATCACGCATCTTCGTGCCTGCCAACGAGTGCACCCGGGTTGTTCCAATGTACCCTTCCCAGTCCCAGTCAGCGATGTCACATTTACATTCTTTAGCGCAAAGTATGTACATAGCAACCTTCCTCCCAGAACATGTACTCACTACATGCTTTGCCGACTATGTGACTAGTACATCCGGTGCGATTCGGCTAGCTTTCGACGACCTCCCCCTGGCCTCAAGTGGTGTACTGATTCCCAGCAACAAGTCTTCAGCATACACTAAAAGCGTACACTGCAAGATGTCATATAGCACGGATGGAGCTTCACACTCCGGGTTTTGACCCACAGCCATTTGCCGGAGCTGGAAACCCGGCTCCGCGTCCCGCTCGTCCCTTTGACCGAGCCCCGAACGGCGTCCAGGTTTAGTGCCCTGGACTCACGGGGCCGACCATGCCGATCTGGCCCGGTCAAGGGCTGATCTGGCTCCTCTTTGAAGGGCTTGTTGCTGGTATCCAGGGGGAGACTCGGATACTCACAGAGGGTCATTTTCCGATGCCAGAAACTTGAGAGGTCGAATTTACGAATGAGGCCATGATCAGCCTGATCAGCTGAGGTTCGTGCTGCGGCTGGCTTGCAGCTGGAGACTAAGTAAAAACGATTATTAATGTTCACCTTGCATTGAGTTGCAGCATTGACCTTGAGGGGCACACAGAAAAGTCATTAAGTTTATGTGTGTGTGTGTCTCCCTTAGAAGCTGGCATAAGATGCTTGTTCCAGATGCCCTTTGTTTCTGAGTGACGCTGTGAACTTGTGTTGCTTCTGTTCAAATATGTATCTCTCTTGTAGCGTGATGCTCAAGAAGTTCTTTGCACACAAGGTTTCGGCAATTGGCTGAACTTCAGAGCGGAAAGGAGCCTCACTTGAATCATGTGTCCAAGGGGATTGGGTCTTCTTAGAATGGAGGTTTGCCCATGAGTCGGTGCATCACCGGGCAAACAAAACGACATTTAGTAAGTTTCAACGTTCAGTCGGAAGACTTCCCACTGTAAGGGAAGACTGGAGGACTTACGTAATAATACGGTAAGAGGGTATCCAACCGCAAGCCCCATGAAGTCTTGAGGGGAGGACGGGTCGTAGGAGAAGTTTGCTGATCTAGGAGAGAAACTACAGCCGGAAGAACATCCTCCTGACGGAGCAGCAGCTTAGCAGATTTCCTGAGTTGCTTTGGTTTCTTCTATGACAAACGATTCTCGAGAGAATTGTCACGTCTGTGGCATATATCTGAGTGCCATGTATCTCATTGGTTCGGACGTTTTTTTACATGTTCTACTCTTCCGAGTTTCACGTGGGCGTGGCATTTCCACCTAGGCGTGCCCAAGAAAACCGTTGTCCACACAAAGCCACCTGGGCTGGGCAGCTGCCGGAGGAGCTTCGACCTAGGTGCGCCTTGAGGACAAACCAGAAACGTCACAGGCGAAATAGGTGCTTTTGGGGTAGAAAACAAGGGCTTTCAGCAAAGCATTTGCTGTGAAAGCAGGGCTTTGCTCATTCATTCTGACATGTTTGTGGTGGTTTCCCGTGAACGAGCGTCGATTTTGAAGGTATGATCGCTTCTCTACATTTCGCCAAGAGCAGGGAGACGGTCGCAGCTTGCCCCACGAACGTGGAGACTTGAGTGCCCGTCGGCAGAGATAGCATTGATCAGCAGACGGAGACAGGTGAGGCTTGCAATGGTTCCCCAATGGTGGGATTGCCTTTTCTTTAGTTCGTCCGGCCCTGAGATTTGGGAGTACACAGTTGCTCTTTTTGTTCAAACACAACACCTGTGACCGACCTGTATCGAAGATCGGCACAATCTGCCATCTCAAAGGAGAATCCATGCCAGTTTCACCATGCGAATCGGGCAGCTCAGGGCATCACGTGTGGCCGTAGTAAAGGTGAGGTGTTGGAGAGGTCAGGGTGAACGAACAGATTGGGCCAGGAGGGGCTGTCATTCAACACATCTCAATGCTTCAGGGTGTTGGTTGTCTTGGAGATGTTGTAGTTTCCGATGCCTTCAAGAGTCCTTCAAGGCTGAAGCTGAAGCTGTATTCAGCCTTCCTGAAGTTTGTTGCCGATTTGTCTCTTTCATGGACTTGCATTTGTAGCACAGGGCCAGGGGTAATATTATTGAATCTGCTTCTCCATGCCACGGAGGAACCTGCACTGGATCAAGGACACTCAAGGAATTGGTTCGATGTTCAGGCTTGATCTCTACACTTGCCATCGGAAGGTTCCACCAAATTTGGCCAGCCGCACATCAACTTGCAGTAGCAGGGACAACTCACCTCAAAAGAGAACGCTCTAGGTCAACAAGTGACTCTCTTCTGGCATTTTCTCGCATACTTGTTGACAGGTTGCCATGGCATGATTTCCAAAGGCACGTTGAATTCACGCTGAATGGTAGACGTGCACTGGACCAAACGCAGCTGTTGTCATTTGGTATTGGTTCTGGCTACTTGGAGTATACCCGCTGTGGTCTTCGTTTGGTCGGAGAGCACGGTGCCGTTCGTGGGCTTACAAGCCCTTCCGGGACGAGCCCAGAGCCCAGCCTTTCTTGAGCCCACTGTTGCTCCAGTGGCAGAGCGGCCTTTTATCGAGAACTTCAGGCCATTTGATAGGTCGAATCTCACTACAATCACTACAGTCTCCACCACTTGTTCCAGTGCACTGCCCAGTAAAAGCTCTGTAAGGACGGTCTACATCAGTTCTGTCTATGGTTGGCCCACCGCCGGTCTGCTGCCAAGTTGCCCGGTGCCGTGCCACGTCACCCGCGACGCACGCCTCTGGCGCAGCGCCGATGTCATTGTGTGGAACCTCCGGTGGTTGACGAGCTCTCCCCAGTTCATGGGCGCGACTCCTTCGTCGAAGCCTCGCGGGCAGCGTTGGGTGGCCAACTACGACTTCGAGGCACCGGTGCACCAGCCGCAGCGCTTGATGGCGGAGCTTGGGAGAGGGATCGATTGGACCGCTGGCTTTCAGACTGGAAGCGATTTTGCCAAGCCCCACATGAAACTGGCTCCACTGCAAGAGCCGGGAATGGTGGAGAAGAGGAACTTTGCGGAGGGCAAAGATCAATTGCTCTTGTGGTTTGTGAGCAATTGCGGTCCCAAAGACCGCATCAATGTCTTCCAGCACCTTGCATCATATCTTCCAGCCTCCAAAGTCCAGAGGTTTGGAAAATGTGGTGGTGCTTTCAAAGATCCTTGCGGTAATCGTTTCAACGTCTCGTGCTTGAAGACATCCACACGCCGCTTCAAGTTTTATGCAGCCTTCGAAAACACTCGCTGTGACGGGTATATCACTGAAAAGTTCACCCATGGTTATCAATTTGGCATGGTACCTATTGCTTGGGGTGGTTTGAGTAGAGCTGACTATGAGAAGGTGGTACCGGGAAGCTCCTTCATCCATGTGGATGATTTCAAAGATTACAAGGCTTTGGCTAACTACCTGCTAAAGCTGGACGCAGACGATGCTAGCTACAACAAGTACTTTGAATGGCGAACGCAATACCGCATGGTGGACAGGGACGAGATTTGGGATAATGTCACATGCAACCTTTGCATGGAAGCTCAGAAGCCTTGGCGCGAGCAAAAGCGATCCAGAAGTGATTGGAACAAGGGCTTCTTTGGAAGATGCAAGACGTGACTAGCAAAAAGACCGGACCAGGAGTTTGTAAGCGGACGGTTTTTTTGGCAGGTGCCTCATACACGGAAGAACTCACGATCCTGACATTGTGCGGTGTTGGTAGAAACAATAGAGCGAACCTAGGAGCCATGGCCCCCAACCTCACAGCCATGGCCCCCACCCTATTAGCCATGGCCTCCAACCTAATAGCAATGGGAATTACAGTATGTATATTTGACTAGCTGTAGGATTGCTTGTTTGATCCCACTCCCCAAATTGTGGAGTCTGGAAGGTTTCTTTTCGTGAGGATGCACGGCTACTTTGCAGCGAAGACTGTTATGACTACGGGGACAGACCCAACGTGATTTACTAGTCAGTCAATTTCTGGCAGCCACATGCTCAAAGAACGATTGACAGCACTGCGATGTTCAAGTAGTTCAATGTTCCAATGGAGTTTGGGAAAAGCTTGCTGATTTACATCCTTGGCATCATCTCCGGCCTGTCTATTGTGCCGGCCGTGGTCTTCGCGCAGGAAAGATTGCAGCTACACCAGGACAAAGCTCCTGGCAAAAGGACACCGGTGCCAGTCGTCCCTACAGCCCCAGCTGCAGTGGCTGCAGCCCCAGCTGCAGCGCCCACAGCAGCTCCAGCACCAGCAGGACCAGTTGTTGCGGCAGCATTGGTTGTGCCTGGGCAACTCACACTTGCAGAGCTCAGGGACATTTGGTTGCATTTGGATGCGCCTTCCAAACTTCCCTATGAACAGCTTATGAATTATGAGCCTGGACGTGGGAAGTTCCACAGCCAAGCAGGGCAAGACAAGTGGGTGGAGAAAGTCTTTAGTGGACAGAGAAATCTATTTGTAGTGGAGAGTGGCGCCTTAAATGGCATTTCCCACTCGAACTCTATCTTCTTCGAAACCGAGAGGCAGTGGGATTGCTTGCTGGTTGAGGCCAATCCCTATCTTTGGCCAGAAGTCCGTTCCAGGAACCGCAAGTGTCACTTTCTGACGGCGGGCCTTTCCATCACTAAGGACGTTCTGGGGCAGCCCAGGATGCCAAAACAATCCGAAGAACTTTGTTACTAAATGCCCTTTGCTCCAAACGTAGCCTTCTTGTTCCTAGTTATAATAAGGCCAGGAGCCACTAGTAGCGTCCTTGCTCCTAGTAGCGATGCCCGGATTCCTAGTAGCGATGCCGCAACCACCTTGCAAGTTACCTTGTCTTCTATGTTCACTGCGTGTTCTGTCAAACAAATCGGACCCTGTGAGGACAAGGGAGAATTCCCTTTCAAGTTAGCAGGTCCACTGGGTGGCTTTACGGACACGATGGCCTCATCCCATGTGTGGCGTGCTGATCATGAGATCAAGAACAATGCACCCTGGATGACTGGGAGTCGTGGAAGTGGAAAGGTGATCAACGTCAGTGCCTTCCCCTTGTACCAGGCGGGAAGACCAGGAAGATGGGTGCCAGGCTCGACGGCACTTCAGCTGGTGCCAGGCCGTTCAATCGGGGCCGTTCATAGGGATCAGCTAGCATGACGAAGGCCTTAGACAAGATCATGGGATCGTTTCGAATTTGAAGGCGCTTCTCTCTCGCCTCCAATCCAAGAAACGGTGCTTCTTCACCTGCCTTTCAACTTAGCACCAGGGCCCTGCTACATAGGTTGATAAGCCGGTGCCTTCTTCTTTTTTGGCTAAGCTAACGCGCTTGCCAATGTGCAGGTGATGGCGGCCCTCAACCGCACGACCTTGGATTATTGGAGCCTGGACACAGAGGGAAGTGAACTGGCGATTCTGCAAGGCTCTGGTGTGGAGCATTTTGAGCTGGGAGTTCTCACTATAGAGCACAACAACGAGATGCCCAAGAGGCGAGGGTGAGATGAAAAAGGGCTCAGACGAATGTTTTTCTCGGAGATTCAATCACTCAAGGATGAGGGTGGGAGGTTGCATCCCTCTGTTTGGGTGAACCGCCCCAAAAACAATGGGAATCTCGAGCAGAGTGGAGACTGCATCCTATGAAGCTGTGGAGGCAGAGCCTGATGAGCTCTGATTAACTCTGCTGCCGCCAACCCTAAAGTCTTGGAGGCTGTTTTGAGGTTCTTTCAGGTCGGCTTGCAGTTACAAGTGCTCGTGCGTCCACCGGCATGTTTTCCAGTTAGAGAACTGCCTTTGAGACTGGTGTTTTGCCCTGAGCTATACCGACTCTATAGACCTTTCAGATGCCATTACATACCTATTTCGATAGCTTACTGACGAACAGTAGAGAGAAGTATTTAACGAGTAGATAAAATGCAAAGGCCTGGTGACCAGCAGAGAAAGCAGAGCTATCTCTCTTGTTTTAAAGCTGTCTTTGCAGTCTTTTGATTTCACTGTGGGCACCGAATGTCTGCCCTGTGAGTTATTTGCCCTCCAGCGAGCGAGGCAACAGATCCAAGACTTCCTTCACCAACATGGAACCGAGCGAGTGGTGGCAGGAGGCCAAGATGACTTCTACGCCAATCCAAGCTACTTTCGCAAGAGAAACTTACCCTTTCCCAAGTAGCACTTCACAAAGAGGGTGCGAAGGACTGGTGTTTTTTTTTTTGTGTCTTTTTGTGTCTTCACAACGTGTTCTTTCCCTTTGCATTTCCTGCTTTCGGGCTTTAGAGACTTGGTCGAAAGTCAGACAAACGGTTCTCGCAAAAGGTGCAAACCGTGAGTGAGAGGCAAACGCAGTAGAGCAACTCTGTCATGGAGTCCAGCTTGGAGTTTGATCTTGCGTCTGTTCGTTCTTGCAGGACTTCAATGCATCACCAACTGCATAGTGATCAGTTCGTTTAGGTGTTTCAGATTGAAATGTTTCACAACTGCGCGGAGCATTTCATGGGGCTTGGCAAGGATGTAGTATTCACGATTGGAGAACATAATTAGACATATGTACAGACCCATTGTTGGCAACTCTTGGTTGAAGGCATATCTTTGCAGGGCACAGATAGGCGCACGGAAACACAGCATACTGGCATACTTGCACAGGTATGCGTACGATGCATTGTGCGGGAGACTTGTAAACAAAGGCTCCCATTGAGTGGCGCTTGTGGGCATTGGCGTGAAAACAGTACGCAGCTCTTTTTGATCAGGTTTTGCTTACGTGCAGTCAGTACATTTGTGCAGTCACCACACAACACGAAGGCAAAATCCGTACAACATTTGTGACATGGCGGAATCGCCATTTCGTTGTTTGAAAGGATTTGCGGTCGGCTAAAATGACCGATGCCAAACACGTCGTCTCTGGTGTCTCTGGTAGTGCCAAACAAGTTTCTGTATGTCTTGTGCCTTATTTGAGCCTCATGGGGATGAGAACCCCCTGATGCCTGACGCGGGGCGCCGACACCTCACGTTGGGCGATGCTCTCTGCTCTCGAGGGCAGATGGCTGATGGAAGACGGTGAAGGCAATACCACCTTCGCTGTGATCTCAGCCACCGGGGATGTGAGCTTTGTAGAAGATCCGGAAGCCACCATGCGGATTCAGACAGGCTGGGCACGGCTGGGTAGGACTCGGCAGGGCTGGTGTGTGCATTCACAGTGGTTTGATTGCAGGTGAGTCGACCGACGCGCCGTTTGTCATGGTCTCCAACGAGGGTGAGGAGCTATGTCAAGGGAAGCTGGTGGAGACAGCGGATGGACCGACCTTAGAGTTGGAAGGTCAAGAAGGAACAGAGACTTGGCGCAAGATCAAGCCTGAAGCCCCCAAAGTGGTCTCCAGAAAGAAAGGTGGCTTGCCAAGGATCTTTACCAAAGAAGGCCAACAGGGATCTAACCAGCCGGAGCAGCCAGAGCAGCCGCCGCCAGAGTAGCTTGGCTTGGAGGCAGGGCGCAAAGGAAGTGAGTTGAACAAACAAGTTGTTGGAACACCACGAGTGAGATGAGTAGGGACAGTAGGGATGCTTGCAGTCGTCCAATTGCATCGATGCTCACAGTCATGAGGACTTTTTGACGCACAACTGTTCCAGGTGGCATTTGCTGAGCGTGGGAATGGGCGAGCCAACGCACTCCCAGGTCATGTATTGTGATTTCTGTTTTCTTGTTATATATCCATAGATGAATTCCGCTCCATAGATTCCATGCGTAGATAAAGCTCTTGCTTTGGAAGAGCAGCAAACTGCTCCGTGGCTGGCTGCTGTTTCACCCATCGAGGTTCACACTGGTAGCGCCTTTGAGAGGTCAGAGTAGTAACGAGAGAAGTCTGAAATTGCTCCGCATATGCTGAGCAAGCAGCTTTTGGTTTTCCTGGAAAATCATGGTGCTCTAGTCCTTTTTTGTATGAGTTCATACGGGCTTGAGCTTGTGCCTGTGCACCAGCTCCTGATTTCCGCAATCGCCATCCCTCAACGCCAGAAGGAAACAACCACCACGTCACCAGATCAAACAATTTGATACAATTTGTATGTTCACTCACAAGTCACAAGACTTCTACATTTCTCATCTGAGCCTGTGCAGCAAGCCAAGCAGCCACATCCAAAACTGACCAAGACATCTGATTCACATCCTCATCGTCGTTTCTTTTATGACACCATGTAGCTCCCTCAATGCCAAGCCTGCTGATCTGCACGTCCCCAGCTGAGATCGCCGTGATACGCCGGGTAGGTGGAGTCTCGTGATCGACGCCACTGAAATGGCCATCGCTGCCTACTGGCGACGCCTGATCTCACAATTTTTACTAAAATTCACTCGTGGTGAATCGGTTCAGAAGCTGATTGATCAGGACGCTGCATGCCCAAGGCACATATTCCCGGCAGATTCCATCAAGGGCAAAGCACTGACTGACAACTTTTAAGTTGCAGTTGAACAATGTATTTCTTTGTTTGTGGCTTGTAAGGCATTTGTTTTGCAGTCATCTTTAGTGTTCTTTTTGGTTCTTGCGGGTTTGGAACCCTACGTTCCTGGTTCCTCTGTCATTTGGGCACACCTTCCTGGAATCTGCGGCAGGTGTCCCTCCAATCTGCTCGCGCGCGAGAGAGTGACATTCTGGAGAAGCTTGGAAAGGTCCAACAGGCAGATGGTCTAAACGGTCTGTCTGCGGTTATTGGAAGAACTCATGGGCCGTGGGCCTGGCCCCGAGTTCGGATGAGCATTTTGCGAAGACAAGAGGTGATGCCATCCACTTCCATTTCTTGCTGCAAAGAGTGTTGGAACAAGGTTTGACCGGTCAGAAGGTCCATGAAGGCCCACACGGTCGAACAGAAAAGGCCTACATCGTTACATCGCCAGAGAATCATTCTCTGTTGAACTGCCGACAGGCTGCCCAGAGCCATAAGCAGCAGACAAAGCTCAATCAGCAGCGCCATGAGTGGATCGAACAGGCGTGATGTGGGTGCTAGGGCTCGAAAAAACACTTGTTGGATACTGAAAATCGATCCATTGAATAGTAGGTTGATATAGGTTGCTGGTATAATATACATAGGATTAATAGGTAGTAGAGCCTGGCACCGCAAAGTTTCCAGAATGAAACTCTTTGAGTTGCGATGCAAGGGTCAGCAAACTTTAGATCTACAAGAAGGGGAATTGCTCGCGAGACGAACTGACTATGACCTTTGTAAAACAACTTTTGCCAATGCAAGTCTTTTGTAAGCATCACTCTGACAAACATTGAAGTGGACAACCACGGGTTCGTAAAGGAGCATAGTCTTCCAGTCGAGCATTCCATCCACTTCCATCTTCATTGGAAAGAAGTTAAACACCCTGAAAACTAAAGAGAAGAGACATGACAATTATGATGAGAAAATTATTCACTTTTAAACATATGCTTGGAGGGACATGGATTCATGTACCAAACCACCAAGACATGGATTCATGTTACTTGCTTAGAAACATCGCTAGTAGGTTGGAGGCCATCACTCTTAGCTTGGAGGCCATTGTTACTAGGTTGGAGGCCATTGCTCTTGGGTTGGAGGCCATCGCTCTTGGGTTGGAGGCCATCGCTCTTAGGGTGGAGGCCATCGCTCTTTAGGTTGGAAGCCATGGCTCTTAGGTTGGAGGCCATCGCTCTTAGGTTGGAGGCCATCGCTCTTAGGTTGGAGGCTATCGCTCTTAGGTCGGAGGCCATCGCTCTTGGGTTGGAGGCCATCGCTCTTCGGTTGGAGGTGATCACTCTTCGGTTGGAGGTGATCGCTCTTAGGTTGGAGGTGATTGCTCTTCGGTTGGAGGTGATCGCTCTTCGGTTGGAGGTGATCGCTCTTAGGTTGGAGACCATCGCTCTTAGGTTGGAGGCCATCGCTCTTCGGTTGGAGGCGATCGCTCTTCGGTTGGAGGTGATCGCTCTTAGGTTGGAGGCCATCGCTCTTCGGTTTGAGGTGATCGCTCTTCTGTTGGAGGTGATCGCTCTTAGGTTGGAGGCCATCGCTCTTGGGTTGGAGGCCATCGCTGTTCGCTTGGAGGTGATCGCTCTTCGGTTGGAGGTGATCGCTCTTCGGTTGGAGGCCATCGCTCTTAGGTTTTGTTTGTTTCTACTTAGTAGTTCATCTGTTCTGGCTGGAGCTGTTGAACCGAGTCCCCGATGCGAGGCTCGTGGTTTGGCTCGGGAAGCACGGCGGCTAGAGGCTCCGAGTGGACTGGGTCAAGACCTGGGCATGGCGCAATTAGTTGGTTGCTAACTTTGATGGTATGATCCTCAACTGGAAGTTCAGCTATCTGATTGGGATGACTGATTTGCTCTGCAAGTCTCAGCGGAGTGAAAATCCTTCAGGTCTTCGATACAGGAATGAAGTTATCAGTTCTTTATGCTGTTGGAGATCTTGAGAGAAGAGCTTCCGATGGTGTCAGATTTGGATTTGTCCCCTGTGGTGGCCATGACCGCTTCTTTCAGACGTATGTGGGTTCAGCTCCAGGGAGATCTAAAGGATGCTGCCTTGGAGCTTGGAATTTGGTCTATGCCTCAGCATGTTTCAGGCAAACAGCATGTCTTTTTGGGGCTTTGAAATGCTAAGGAGAGAGCTTTGCTGGCTGTTTTACGGCTTCGATGTAAAAAACTTTACTAATATCGATTCGAGCATCAGATTGAGAAAAGACATCTTCAATCAGCTTTGGCAGATTCTTTATGGCAGACTGATTGCTCGCCGGAAACTGCTGTGTCTTCTATCTGCCTCAGGCCAGAAGATGAGGTGCCTATGTATACATCCTTCCTACGTCGTTCTCCGAAGAATCACGTTGAAGTCAGCTTTCATTTGATGAGAGCGACTTTGAGCGAAAGCTCAAGCGTTGGCTCATGCTGGCTACATTCACACGTCTCTGCATTTGCTGCTTCATGTCAAGTTCCTTGGTGCTTGACAGGAGGAGTTGCACTCCAAAGCTGAAGTGTGGCTTCAGGTGACATCTCCGAGTCTCGGAGATGGGGAAAGCACACAAGCCACAGCAGCCACGGCTCTTTTAGGGCAATTGTGAGACATTGAGCTCTGCGTATGATAAGCAAGTTTCAGTAGTGAGGCTTTGCCTTGAGAGCACGAGAAGAACCTCTGTTCCAACGAGGTCAAGCCTCGTGGATGCCTTCAACTTATATACTGGTGTAAAGAGACGGTGCAACTCATGCAGCTCCCTCATGACAAAAGGCCCCCAACATGGGAGGCCTCAGAAGGCACAGAGGACCTCAGGCCAGGCCTTCTCCCCACTCTTTTTCAGAAGCCAGGCTTTTCTCTTGAAATCCAACAAATCACTATGGATCGGCTTTGAGTCCTTGAGTCACCACCGGCTGCTTGCGCTGCTTGCGGACGACAGGTGTCCGGCTTGCGAGAGCTGGTCTTACAGCTCTCGCGGCGGGACCCGCAACGGCTGCGGGAGAATCCGCAGCAGGTTGGAGACCTCAGCGGATGGATATTGGATTGGATTCTTTTTGGAGGAGGGGATCAAGATACGGATTTGTTTTACAGAGTGACTCTTAGGCGTGAAAGAAGGAAGACGTCTTTTAGGATCCTCCGGAGTTGGAAGCATGGTAATACTGCATACTCATTAAGCTCATAAACATTCGTGTGAGAGTTTCAAGCAAGGGAAGTCCAACAAATCGTATCAACAGTCCCTGCCCTCCTTCATTTAGTCCAGCTTTCAGATCTTTTGTCATCATTTCCCATTCATCCCATTCGGATGCTTTTGCTTTTGGCAACGAAGAAACGCGATCCGGTTCCACCTTCGTTCGGGTTCCGATGCTCGGGACTCCCTCGGGTCGAGGCCCTGCAGCTCCAAGATGCCTTGAGCAGCGTGGCCATGGCCGTGCGGAGTCCATACTGGAGCGCTCAGGTTCGGAGTCCGGGAAGTGGCATGAAGTGGCCCATTTGTTCTGTTTTTATTAGAAGCGAGGCACTTGTTACTACTAGCTTCTTGTTACTACTAGTAAGGCACTTGTTCCTAGTAGCTTCTTGTTGACTTTTTTTCTTTCTTTTCAGTTTTTCTCTTCGCGGTTCTTCTTTGGTGCTCTTGAACGTCTTGACCAATGTATGGGTGGATCAAAGGGTCCTTTCGTCACCAAGAACGTGCGCACAGTTGATATCATCCATTCCTCCTGTTACAGGCATGCGAAGAAGGCTAGACTTGAGTCTCAACTTCTGAGGAACACATTTCACAGAAAGCTGGTGACTCTGACACCAGCTTCTTGGGGCGAAGCTCCAAATCCAAACGTACATAGCCATCCCTGTCGTCCAAAACGAAGGGTCGGTTTCAAGGCCTCCGCATTGGAAGAGGACTGCGCTTCGCTGCGGAGCAAGCTGCGTTGGCACCTTAGCGTCTGGGGTGATGTGATCTCTTTCACGCACATCCATGGACCAATGTTTGTTTCGGGCTTGGCCAGCAAGGAGCAATCAGCTTGACCAAATCTTCTCTTGAGCAAGTTAAGAGGAGGGTTCATTTCTGTAAGTTGGAACGAAAACATCAATCCCCGAGTAGGACCAGCTCTGCATGAGAAAAAGGACACCTGCATGGACATGGGCGCAACCGAGTAGGACACAACACGGGCCCTGTGAGGTTGTGAACTGGATGCCTTGAACGACTCGCGCAACAGCGGCGCCGTTGAGGCGAGGAACATTGTGACCCAAGTAATTGAGCCTTGGACTTGTGAGGATTTAAGCATGCGGCATACTGTAACAGGGTTCATGATCTGAGAACTCGTGTTCTTTTTTTAGCTATACTGTAATAGATGTTTGTTGGTGATCTTCATTCTCTCAGTGGCAAGATCCTGGCTGCGGAGGATCGTTGCGATCTGAGCGATGAAGAAGACAACTTGCTGCAAGACATTGGAGATGGAGAGGAGGCTTGCTCCTTCGTTGGTACCTCTTTTGTTCGAGCTCCAACTTTGTACGCTGGTTTCACAGCACTGCGGTGAAGGTTGCTCTTTGTTGCTTCGGTGACTTGCCTTTGAGGTTTGCTAGGAAAGGAGATTGCACTGCCATCTGAAACCCGTGATATATATATATATAACTATATATATATAATATATAGATAATAGATAGTTGTAATGAACAGCCAAATCCATCAAATTGTCTCATGGTACGATAATTAGTTTGCCTGGCCTGTGTTTGTTGGGAAAAGCAGCCATGAGCCAGGACTACCGGAAAGAGTTGGAAGACATCAATGTACAGGTGGCAACTTCTTTGACCGAGCTGGAACAGGCCTGAGGACTTCCTAAATTTCCAGTGTTAGTTGTATCAGATGTTCAAAACCCTAAGATGGTATACACCTTGAGGCCACCAGGGTGTTGATCTGGAGCCTTGTCATACGCGGCTTTTTGGCACCCTTTCAGCCTCTCTATTTGTGCCGCCTCCAGGAGTTGCAAGAGCTACGTCGGCGCAGAGCAGGCCGTAGTACCATAGGATTCAAGGGTTCTTCTGTGCCAGTTGTTACTCACATGTAGCCAAGTTCTTGTTACTAATAGCTTTTGCCTTACTAGTAAGGCACCTGTTACTAGCGTGGCACCTGTTACTAAGGCACTTCCGTAAGAGAACTGAAACCGGTTGCAGACGGGCCGGGGCGGTTCTAGGCTGGGATGATGAGTCCCACTTCCGGTTCTTACACATCAAGAGGGAATTCCAGGAGCCTTGAACTGCAGATAGTTTGGGAATGGGACGAGCAGCAAGCACAGTGTCGCTTGCCCTGCTTTGCAGCACACACTTATGTCGCTGATGTTTGTGATTGCTTGTGATTGAACATTTTGGCTCAGTTAACGTAAGCAATGTTGATCAGAATGCGTGCACCAGAAGCTTGTGAGGCGTGCTCTAAAGCACGGCATAGACATGAACACTTAAAACCATATCGAGGCTTCGCAAGTCCTTCCTTTGACCCCCAATTCTTTCAATTCAGAGCTGAAATCCTTCACAGTTCCTTTCACACAGCACGTATTCCTGTGACACATTCGTTTCAGAGCTACCTTGAAGGCCCTTGGTGTCTCTTTGGCTCGTTTCCTCCCCATGCGGCCCGCACCTCCCGGCCTCCGGTCGGTGCCGTGGCCGCCGAACCGCTTGGGAGCACCAGGGCCGTCACACGCCCAGCGCGCTGGGAGCCTCCACGGCTTCAGCGGCTCGCCATGGAGCCTCTTGACACTCAGCATCTCGGCTTCGGCCTCGGGGTGGAGACGGTCTCGGAGCAGACTGCAAGTGCAAAAGGAGGTGAAAGAACCGGTGAAGAAAGAGTTAAAGGCAATGTCCTTGGAGAAAGAGGTGAACTTGATTGAATCTCAGCTGCGGAAGATGGAAAGTATTATCAGTACCTACCACTCAGTGCGTGATTACTCCACACTTCCAAGCAAGTCCACCCCGAGGGGTCTTTCAGCACTGAATGATTTGGAGCACCTGGCAGTTGAGTCCAGTGACAACCAGGCAGCCAGAGCTCTCGCCTTTTGCTCGGAGGATTCCGGTCGAGTGGCCGAGCTGGTGGCACGGACCCTGCGAACCCTTGGGGCGACCGGGGCGACCGAGGAGATCGACCACCGCGTGGGCGAAGATCTGCAAGAACTCACCGAGATGTTGAAAGAGGATGGAGTGGCCGCAGAATGGACGCTTGCACCACCGGGCGCCAGTGACTCGGCACCCAACGCACAGAATGCCCGGTGGCCAATTCTAGCTGCTTTGCAGCAGATTTGCCAGGATGGTCGGCGGAGGTTAGGAATTGCTGAAGCAGCATGTCATGAGCAACATGTGCCAAGTGAACGGAACTTGAAAAAGATGCTTGACACGTTTTTGTGATGGGCTTTCTGGCTTTCTTTTATTTTGTTTTTTGAGTTCTTTTGTCCCAGGTAACCTGAAAAGAATGTGTTTGTGTCGATATCAGCACATAATTGTGTCCTTTTTCCTTTCCTTTCTTGGCCACTGGCCAATCGAAGGATTGCATTTTCAGAGCTGCTTGATGCTGCGATTGGCAGGGGCAGCTTCAAAGTGCTTGGAGATGGTGAAGTACTCATCTCAGGTGTGGTAGACGTGATTGAAAGGGCCATGGCAGGGGATTTGCTTCTGGTTTCAGTTGATGGATGTGATGAAGATCTTCTTTCAAACGCGTTCCAGGATGCTAATGAGCGTGGAGTGTCTGCTCTTGTCCTTCTGACTTCGAACAGGGAGGAGCAGATGCTCATTGAAAAGCTCTGGTCTTCTCCGACTGGTGGAAGACCCGATGCGGTGGTTGCACTGCCAAAGGCAAGTGAACCACAGGTTTCCCTGGCACGAGCCTATTTCGGTTCCGGCCAAACTGGAATGAGGAAGATTGCGGTGGTAGGTGAAGATGAGCTTGAAATTCGAGCTGCAGCCTGGCTTCTTTTCAAGATGCTGGAAGTTCATGCTGGAGCGTCCCGAACAGGCTTGATCAACGATCGTTGCTCACTGATTGCTCACCGCAGTCTAGGCATTTTCGGGGGTCTGACCGTTTGTGCAGTTGAAGAGATATTGGCTGGAATGAGAGAGGCCGATGTGGACTTTTGTGTGGCTGAAGTACTTCCATCAACCAACGCTTTTAGCCCAGTGAACTTTGATTTGGTACTTGACTTAGGAGGAGGGCGTGATGTGCTTGGATCAGAGGTGATTTGCCGAAAGCCCTCGAGTACGGTCTCCACCTGTGCGACCTACTCGTTTGAAGTTCCAATAGCGAGTGAGACCGAGTATAAAGACCTCACCAAGGCCAAGTTGGTTGAGGAACTGGTTTCTCGAGGTTTTGATGAGCCCCAAAGTTTAAAATCGAAGACCAAGCAAGAGCTGCTAGAAACACTTCAGGCGATTGCTGACGCGGAAGCAGAGGATGAACCTGATCTGCTGTCAGGAAATGACGCTGATGGCACCAACTTGCATGCAGTATTCACGCTTGCAAATCTGGAAGGTCTCGAGCTGATATTAAGCGGTCTCAAGATCAACAGGATGAACTTGTGCATGCCCTGGCTGGGCTCCTGTAGCCCCAATGCTGTCACTGCTGCACTTTGTGCTGCCTCGCACATCATACAGCAAGAGGCAAGCCTTGAGGCCACCTGCAGGTGCCTGCAGTGTCTTCCTTCCATCGCAACGCCACCCGCGATTCTGGAGGTTTCTCGGGCGGGCGAAGGCAGCGAGGAGGGTGATGCCAAGACATCACACCTGGGGATTTTGCATGAAGTTTCATGCCCAAGTGACATGACCGTGGCCTTGCAGACGGTTGAGTCTTTGAAAGACCCTGAGGCCACCGTAACAGCTGTCTTTGGCTGTGATGGTGAAGTCTCTCGAAAAGAGCGCGTGAAGTATGCGTGGGCTTTGGCTCAGAGCTGTGCTGAACGGATTGTGCTGACTTCGGCGAACTGTGGCACGGAGCCACCGTTGCAAGTCATTGAAGACATGTTGGAGGCCCTGCGAGGCGTGCGGAGATGGATGGAGGAGGAGATGTCGAAGCCGCTGGAGGTCTTTGTGGTGGTGGATCGTGCGGATGCCATCAAACTGGGGACCATCACTGACTCAGAGAACTCTGTGACACTAGTCTTTGGGAGTGGCTACAAGGATTTTTATGAGGCGCCGGATGAAGATGGTGTGGTTCAAGCCTGGCTTTTCAATGATCGAAGTCTCTTGACTGAGGCTTTGAGCTTAGCAGGGGAGATGAGAAAGGAGACGACCATGCCTCCATGGACCAAGAAGCCCAAAGTGGGCTTTACTTATCCAGGAAGATCTTTGCATTGGTCATATGGCATTAACATGAACTCTGATGGTCAAATGATAGAGCTACTTTAAGGTTCAAAAAAGGGTGCGCTTCACAGCCTTTGCTTTTGGCGTCTTTTTTCCGGGCAATCGGACGATGTGTTAAAAAGCACTTGATCTGCTCTTCTCCTGCCTTGTAAGAGAAAAGCGAGTCCCGTCCGAAGCTTCGTCGCACCCTAAACCCCCAGGCCAACCGGAGGGATCTCTTTATGGAGCGGCTGCGACTAGAGCTACTTGGATCGCCATTGGGCCATAAAACAGGGATGGTGAGGCAGTGTCGGTCTCTGAAGGGGTCAGGAACTAGCAACGGCTCTGTTCATGACGCAGGCCATGAGGACATTGCTTGATGGATTGGAACGATGTCGGTTGTGCCGATTCCGCGAAGTGGAGGTTCCCGCACCTGAAGCGAGAAGAGTTGCAGCAGCATGAGGTTGGATGTGAGATGGACTGAAATAGGACCAGTGCTTGGAAAGAGATAGTGAAGGTTCAAGCATCCATCGCTACTAGGAGCAAAGGGCATCGCTACTAGGAGCAAGAACGCTACTAGGCGCTCCTGGCCTTACTACTAGGACTAAGTAGCTACTAGTGGCAAGTATCTACCAGGCCAAACACCAATCTCCAGTCATCTGGATGTGTTTTAGCGGAGAGGCGACGTGCGATGCCTTGAAGTATGCCAGCCAGCGGCAGGCGTGAGTTTAGGTCGGAGCTTTGCCGGGTTGCAATGAAATCCACAAAGTTCTAAAACAGGGCCAGGAACCTCAAGAACTTTGTCCTACCCTGCTTGATGGGTACCTGAAAATTGCTCAACATGATTGTCCCCATTTTTAGTCCTATTCACCGGTCACCAGGTCCCCTTCACCGGTCAGGCCGCCATCTTCCGCCAGTGGCGTCGCGATCGGCTGAACCTGCTGCGCCAGCCCGGGACCCATTGGACCAGACCAGGAAGGCCCTAGTAGCGTCCTTGCTCCTGGCGAAATGGCTTGCTCGAGATGGTTTGTGTTGTTTCAGGAGGCCCCCCCGAATCTGGCTCTCATGGGCCGTTTCGGAAAGAGCACATTCGCGCTTGCATACTCTTACATTGAAGCCACCAGCATGAAAGCCGAAGCAAGCAACAGTAGTTTTTAGGGCGCTTGGAAGGGAAAGCCGGGGCTTGGCCACACCGATAAACCATGTCGCTGAGGCACCAACAGCGGCTACAGAAACGGCTCCGCGCTCTGGAAGCACAACAGCAGCGCCTGCAGGCAAAAGACCCGGGCTTTGTGCTGCGAGAAGCATCTTTACAGACATGCGCAGCTTTTCTGGGTTTGCGCAGGAGATGCAGGAGATCAAAGAGAAAGGCAAGCTGCTCCAAGGCCAAGAAAAATCATGAAAAATCCACATGTTCAGGTTATTGTTGCGAGTTCAGGTAGCTGTGTGGGCCCCCCTGTCTCACTTTTTGACTTTTCAGAGATCTTCCCAGGCCGATTGCAGGTGGAGCGCCAAAAAGCTCAAGCCAAACGAGAGGAGATGGGCCGATTGCAGTGGGGCTTGGCCAAATGAAAGCACAATTTTCCTAAAGAATCACGTCTGAAGGCTGGGAAGGATAATCGTCGACATCGACAAGCATTCAGAGTTGGCCACGTTTGGTGCACCTTCCACAGCTGATGACTTTGGGCTCAAATGATCAAGCCACACTAGGCTGAACACGAGTGCCTTTTAGCCATTTGAAGGTGCTAGCTCCGGACTCTTCACTGATCCAGCGATCCAGCAAGTTGCCCAGTTCCAGAGAACGAGGTACCTCAACGGACCGGAGCTGTTTTTGAAATGGACAGACATTGGAGAACTCTCCATTGTCTTCACTACGGACCTGGTCTATTGCCTGTTTTCTCCAATGGTTGAAATAGAGAGACACAAATCCTCCAACTCTCCATGCCCTCCCTGTCACCGTCCGTGTGTCGCCCAAAGACGGCTGCGAGAAGATCCGCCATGGAGAGTACACGCCATGGAGAAGCTCCGATTTCGTCACGGGGAGCTTTGGCCGTTTACATTGCAGTACATTGCAGTGTCTCAGAACGTGGGAGACCTACCCAAGCTTTCTTTTTGGGTGCACAAAGAATGTACTGTATGTCGAAACAATTGGAACCTTTTGGGTAAGCCTGGTCAGTCGGAATCCATCTCAAGCTTAAGATCTCACGTTTTTTCAGCCTTCGAGTCCTGGGTGAACGCCAATTCGGTCGAATGAACCGAATTCCTTGACATGATCCGGGGACCAATATATGAGCACACCGAATGGTCCCCGTCACACCGCCGAGTTCGATTCTTTTTTGGGTTAGCTCAGCTCGAGACACATGTTCGAACACTTTGGTGCTGAACTCAGGAGCTTGCAGTGCCACAGAAGGCCTACTTGAAATGGGTAAAGAACCAGATCGACCTGGAAAGCGCTTGCTTGGAGCTCCCCTTCACCATCCTGCTGCTGTCTCTCGGCTTGCTGGAGAACCACGACCCGGTCGAAAAACACAGGGGCTCTCTCTTTCCGTTGTTGAGGGTCTCCTTCTCCGCCTTCGCGATCTTCTCCCTGAAGCAGGACAGTGCAGTAATGGTGTCTGTGGAGCTGTGAAGGATGGTGTGAAGACACGCGTGCTGGTGTCGTGTCTTCTAGCTGCTTACTTCTCAATCTTTTCATTGCCACGAAGACACGAAGACATGTTTTATTCTTCGAAGTCTTCAGTCAGCTTGCAAGGACACCATCTTCTCAGTGGAGCATGCGATCTCAGAGGCTCTGAGTATTCCTGGGGCATGTCTCACCTGGAGAATATTCCTAAAGCCTGGGAACGCACGGTGATTCCTTCGAACACAAGTAAAACTGTGCAACTATCTATTTGGAGAAAAGCGTAACAGTCTGCAGAACATGCTGAGAATCTCATGACTGGAGCGACTTTTTGTGCCGATCGGCCAGGATATCACTCACAATGCCAACTTTGCCTTTAGCGAGTATATGGGGCACAAGGCTGTGATGTCACCTCTCGCTTGCTTTCCGAGAAGCAGACATAGAAGTGCCAGCAATGATGTATGCATCAACGTGTGTAGAGTTTGCGTTTCCTGATTTGCAGAACTTCGAAGATGTACATAGCTATGCTGACTTTTGGTCCTGGCTGCGACTGGGCTTTCTTCCAGCCGTTTTCCAACCAGTGCCTGGGATGCATGCGTGTGGAGGGTTCCCCGGGTTCCCCAACCCATTGTTCTTGGTGAATTGTTTCTTTGTCTGGCCGCGGGTTTCTCCTTCGTTTGAAACTCGCCTAGATGTCAGTCATTCAAGTCTAGCAGATTCGACCCTATGGAACATTGAAGTGGAACGTTGCAGCGTGAAAAACTCCTGCATGCACCTGCGACTTGCGGTTGCTTGCGCCAACGACCCGCGTTTGCCCGACGAGGCCTGGACTTACTCAGAGAGGCGCCCCCAAGATGTGGCCAGCGTTTTTGACCTCAATGCGGTCAGAGAAGCTTGGACCTTCCAGAGTGGGATGTGTTCAGATCCACTCCCCTGCGCTTGGCTGGTGAAACTTGTTTCGTCCGGGTTTGGCCATTGCAAAATAGCGAGCCATCGCTATTGTTTTGGCTCGTGGCATCTGAGGAACCAAATGCAACCTGGCAGCTCAATGCTTTGGGAAGTGCCTCGGATGAGAGCGGGGCAGGTTCAATGCCGGCGGCAGATTTACAAGTCCCATTGTTTTTCCATTCGACAGGTGGCAGCAAGCCAGTGCCCACTGCCGCGGAGTACCTTCACTTCAACCGCGTCGTTGGTTCCTTGCCTACGATTCCAGTGAGCACATCAGGGCGCTCCCTCCATTTGTAAAGCGATCCCCTTTCACTGTGAGAAGAAGTCACACGCCACCCAGTGACTGAGGTGGCCTGCGTTTCCGGCAGCAAGTCGCGGCATCCAGCTCCATGGGCAGCTGCAAATTCCCCTCGAGCAACCGAGGAGCCTTTGAGAGGTCCGGAAGCCCGGGGATCGGAGGCGGAGCTGGAGCAGGTGCTTTGGGAGACGAGATGAACGAAGAGCGAGAAGGAGGTGAAGGAAGAAAGAGAGACATGCTGACATGCAGAGATGGAAGAGATTGAATGGGTGACTATCCTGGATGTTGTGAGATGTTAGTGTATCATGGTATTTTGATGTATTTTGGTTTTGTGACCGCTTCCTTCACTGGCGCAGGAAGCTCTTACTGGATAGGATCAAACATACAGATGAACATTAAGACTACCTGCATATTGCTTGAATCCATGGGTATCCCCAAACCAGAAGCACATGTGCTTGTCTACTCAGCAGATAAACCTTTCTTTCGGCAGATAAGGTTCCTATCACCAAATGGCTCCAAAACCACATGCCTCCGCTGTCGCCAGGTGGTATGGAAAATCGTGTATGCCCAACGTTCAGGAGATCGCCTACCCACCGGAGCTTGCTGATGCAGAGGCAAAAAACATAGACAACAACACGAGCTTGGCAAAGATGTTCAAAGCAGTGGGGGAACAAGAACATATTTGGGGAACTATCTTACTATTCCCAAGGAAAGATATCGTTATGAATCTTTATGATGCTTCGTTCTCTCTTTTTTGGAACACACTGTTCCTTGCTTTAGTCACCTTATCTCTCGCGAAAGAGCCCGGCTGGAACGATCCCGCAGGTCTTCAACGATCCCACGAAACTGGAATGGATGCTCCCAGCCCTTGATTCCTTTGAACGGATCGTGGAGCAGGCCTGCGCGGTCGCAGCCAAGGGCCTGGTAAAAACAGGTCTTTGACAACGGAAGGAGAGCATGTTGCATGCTAGTGCTGCTAATGGAGTATGTGTTTCTGAACCGGAGAGTGCACTGAGTAACTATATACTGTACTTGTTTTTCTTCCTGACCTTCTTGACCGTATCTCTTGTTTTGACAATTTGATCAAGCCAAGCATTGATGAATCTTTGTTGAGGCACTGGATATGGAGGAACCTTGGCAGCTTTGGGATGTGCAGACGAAAGGTGTAATGCATCGTGGTTGTCGAGAGTGCCACTTTGATCCTACAGCCTTGTGAGTTGGATATTGTAGCCAACAAAAGCTCCTGAGACATGGTCAGTTGGATGGATCGCACTTTCACTGTTTAACATTTCGAGCTCGAGCTCTTGCGGCCTTTTGATCACACACCATTTTCTCCCATGTTACAAGCAACTTGGAAGCCAATATTCTTGACTAGAGCTCCTTCGAAAAGATTCCTGTCACCAGAGATTGGTTGTCCTGGAATCTTTTGAGACAACTCCATCGACTCCTTTTTCAGCTGAGGATGGCTGCTCTCAGCTTGCTGCCAAGAATAGAAGCGTGCCTGGGCTGTACGAACTAACATGATGTTGGAAGAGTTTTTTCACGAACCTGCACATTGTGCATCGAGTAATTTTGTAGTAAATCACGTATGGTAATGTTGTAGGCCACGTGACAGTGCGCTCAGGGCATTGGCCTCTGACAACTCCAAGTGAAATTCAGTGAACAGGAGGCCACTAAGACCACTTGTACAGCTCAATCAATACGTTAGATTCTAGAAATCATGATTTGTCACTAGTCAAGCCTTTGGATACTTTGATATGATTAGCAGGTCATTTCTTGGGGTGTACTGGACCGTTACAGTAAAGCACCTGGCGATGGCCTCCGTCTTTATTGGTGCACACAAAGGCCCTGGTTTCTGGTGGACTAAAAGCTTTGGATGATCTTTGGTTCAGCTTTTTAGCTGTTAACCCTCCGAACATTTCGATTTTTTGAAGCGATGTGCCATGCGCAGTGTTTAGGTCTGCTATTGCCAGTCCTGCGATCAGTGGCCTTGGATTCGCGAAGATGTGCAACGCTTGGAGGCGAGTTCTCAAAGCATCCCTCATTGTGTCGGGATGGATGGATACGGATGAACAGGGATGGACACGGATGTTGGAAGATGGCAAGTCCATTTCTAAATTCTCCCTCTTTCAAGGTTATGTTGGACATGGCTTTCGAAAGGAACATGGCTTGGAAGCGGCCATATGAAGGGTATTCTTCACAAATGGCGGATTCGTTGAAGCTAAACTTGTTTGCTTCTCCCTAAACACAGGCACTTAGAAGGCAACGTGTGGGCGGCCAAGCGTTTCCTTTGGACACATCCACACCCATTTTCGGGACCGTCCCCATTTTCGGGTCGATTCGAAGGGAACAGTCCGGAGCTTTCTGTGAGGAAATCAGGGCATTGGGCTGGTTGTGACGGACTTATTGGGCAGGCAAAGCTAAGCATGGATGCCATGTCCACCTCTGACTCTGTTCACCTTTGTCAGCCCGTGAGGTGTCCATGATCACCTACAATGCGCATTATGGGCTGCTGACATATACAGGCTGACGACTGACCCGGTGACTGAGACTGGCTTGTCTGAAAGGTTCTTTGGACATTGGAATCAAAGCAGCTGCGTGGTTTGAGATGCCACGGTTCACCTCATTGCTGCGTTGCTGGTTGATTTTGGCTCTTCCGAAGAGGACAGA